TGAACAGGCATGGGAAAAAAAACAAATTACTCTCTTGATAATATTATTTGCCTGAAGGGTAGTAGGGAAGCATGAAGGAAAACTGAAAGAGACTATGTAAAATAGGATATATGTATCAAAACAGTCATGTTTCCACAAACAGGAGGATAAGTTTACATGTATTGTTACTGATATCAAAGATGTTAGCAGTATTAACAGATGGAATTATTCTGCCTCAGCTGTGGAGCTTTTTTTCCCCCAGTTTCCTCTGGTTGGACTATTCTGTGTTACTATTTCCTTTGTCACTTCTTTGCTAGGTTGGTGTTTGGTTGCTAATAATTAGTGAGGCCAGATCTGTAACCAGTTACACAAAAGTGCTTCCTCATTCTTTTGTGGTGTACAAAAAATGGAGTAGGATCACATTTACTGCCTAGTGCTTTCCTTATGCGGTAGCTTCCTACTATCAAGAACAGTATAGTTCTGGTGTAATGTATGAGTATAGTTCATTATTTTTTTAAAAAAAGTATTGATTATGTACTGTGAACATTTAGCTTAGAAAAGTTTCTTACTGCATGAAATACTTCACTATAGTATGTCTCCATGTCCATAGGTGATAGTCCCAACTGATATCAAAATTGAGTTAATCAACCGCCTTTCCAAAACAGGCCTGCCTGCAATAGAAGTGACCAGTTTTGTTTCCTCCAAATGGGTGCCTCAGGTATGTAAAATCATCAGCATTCAGAACTATTTCAGTTTAAATGTCACTCCATGAAGTGGAGTTTTCCAGTAGTATAGCCTGTATAATTATATGAGTAAATGGGACTGAAATAATGTTGTTTATTTGTAAAATTGGATGCTGTTGTCAGACACCATTTACGCGTTTCAAGTTTTATGCTTTTATTCAGGTCAGCTGAAGTTGGCCTAATTATTAAAGAGTAACCAAAATTCAAGTAAAGCTGGTAAGCTGAGAAGAAAGCTGGTTAAATCCCTAACTCATCAGCAGCAAGAGCAGGTTGCTGCAGAAGGAAGCCGAGCACGATAACGAGGGGAGCAGAGGTTGTAGCCTTGTTGACCAAAGGGCAGTCCAACAGTCTGTCAGAGCGGAGCAAGTCTGGTGAGGGTAACCAGGACAGCCAAGAGTGCACATATTCTGGTGAGTCCACAGTGATGCAGCAGGTCCCAAGTTAAGCCGGAAGTCAAGCCTGGGAGGCAAAGTCAGGATCCAGCCAGTAAGGCACGTGGCCAAGCACGGGCTTGGCTGCTGCTGTGCATCTGCGCTGTTTGTCAGGCAGGGATGAAGCATGAGAGTGTCTCAGCTTAAAAGTTGCTGTAAAGTAACTTTTGCTGTGAAGTTGAGTGAAAAGGGAGTGTAGGCCACATTAAGATTTCATAACAGAGCTGATGGGGGAGCCTGTGCTGATCTGCTTTTCAGCTTTTATCGATGAGGTCCAGGGCTGATTGAGGCTTCTCAAGTTGCTGTCTTCCTATCAATGAGCTGGCCTTGAGTGCAGGCAGTTAAGGTCTTAGGAGGGGAGCACTCCAGGCCCCGAAAAACAGAAATGCTAGGAGTACAATTTGCCATGAATACTACGTAAGGTGTGAGAAATCTTAAATATTGTTATTGCTCTCCAAACATAAATAATTTAGCAGGTGATTCCCAGTTTTCCCCTTGCAGCAGGAGGGTGGGGATTTGTATGTCTGTGTATGTGCACAGGACAGCCATAAATGGGGAATGAGAGAACAGGTCACAGGATGCTGAGCAGGGATAAGAGGTGTGGGGCCGATGGATCAACACTACAAGTAAAGGGCAACTGGGTTACAGGATGCTGAGTGTAGACATCATGATAAAGATTTGAGAATATGAAGCAGTTGGGATGCGGAGTACTGAGTTTGAGTGTCTAGATGAACAGCAGTGGGGCTGTTCTGGGGACAGTCATGGTGGAGGGGACTTCTTGTGGAAGCAACACCAATTCAGAGACGTAGAATCAGGGCAGGAAAACCTAGATGCACAGGGCTTGTGCTCCTTAGGATCAAACCAAGGGAGTAGATTCCCCAGGCCTGCGGGTTGTGTGGACTGCCGTGGAAACTTGACTCTTCCCTGAAGCCAAACACCATTTTTGAATGTCTGCTGCACTTAGTACATTTTTTGTGTACCTATCCACCATGCAGTCCTCCTTTTCCAAACACTAAGATAAACACATACACATACAAACACATGCATGCTTACATGTTGGAGGATTCTAGTTAAGGAGAGATGTTGCAAATTCTATCCTGGTTTTGCTCACGAAGGGGCGGTGACTTTTTGCAGTTAATAATGTAGAGAAAATTCTTTACAATCAATGTTAGCGTTGTACTGTAGAATGGAGGCAAAGAAAGTGCTGGCGCATTTTATTTTGCTCTTAATTTATGTAAACATTCAGTTGTAACTAAAGAATTGGGACAGTGACACATCATTAATATAATTTACTATTGTTCCTACCTCTTTTCTACTCTTCTGAGAACTAAGTCATCTATGTAAAAAAGAAAGGTGGCATACCTTTTTTTCTTTTTCCCTAAATGAAATTTCATTTTCCACATTTGGAGCTGTGTTTGGAAGATCTAAATTTGGGACTTATATATATGTAGTAGTAGTTAGGCATGTTAGTTATTTTCCAGATCTAGCACTCTATCAAAAGCCATACTGAGTTTTGATGAATCGTAATAATTTGCTCATTGTTTTTCCAAAATTGATTTTTACATTTGGTGCAATTCAGCAGAAATCCTAGCATTTCTGAAGTCGGCAGCAAAACTACATTGGCATTAGGAATGCCAGGTTTTCATTTGAGATTTAACACTGCAAATTCAGGCTTAGCCCTGAAGTATACTGTGTAGGTCTTGTATGTGCAAACTTAATTATTCTTTGCAAGTGAGGAAAGAAGTCAATACTTGTCTGTATCATTTAAATGAGTTTTCAAGAAATTATGCACTTTTTTGCACAGAAACATTTGAGTACTTGTATGTTTAGTAAGGTCCACACAAGTTATTTACAAAGTAAAACATGAGATGAATTCATTTGAGAAAATACTTCAGTTTTTAACATTGTTGCACATCTTCTGTCAAAGCATACATAAAGTTTGTCCGTTTTAAACTGAGAATACGCCCTGGGCCTGGAGTGTATTCCAGGCTTTCCTCCGAGAAAAACATAGCCTGATCACGCTTATTCGTGAGTTAGCAGAGCAAACTGTGCAGCATTCTGAGGGACTCTATTTCAGTGCTCTCAGAATCACCAGGGAAGGGTCTAAAGGAAGTATAATAGGAAGGGGGAAGAGAACAGCAACAATGCAGAATTTTTCTGGTGTCAATGCAGGGGCAATGATATTGTGCCTGTTAAAAGCGACTGGGCTGTTTTTCCAAGTGCCATGAAACTTTGACAGTTACAGCAACAGAGAATAATGTAGGTTTTTAGACATTAGGAGGGAAAGTCTGAAGCAAAGGTGGATTTCTTCCTTTCTTGTTTCATTATTCCCTTTTCCTGTGAGCCATTAGGAGTACCAAATTTAGCACAGCTCTGTCAGTTTGGGCAAAAATGAACAATCCCTTCTTATCTTAAATTAATGTCTGAATACTTTATTTTAATGGCTTAATTTGTGTTTAAAATATTTTTTATTTAAAAGATAAGATTATGCTGCTTTGATAGGGGGTGAAGTCTTGACTTTGTCTTTTCTTTGCTCTTTTCATTTTTTTCGTAGGTCATGGGAATAGAATTCATGGTTATGTTTAGATCACTCATTCACTTATTTCTTTTTTTAGTATTTTAAAGCTCTTTTGTGGTTTCCCATCCACTGTTTTTTTTGGCAGAGATTTTTTTACTGAAGAAAGCTAAAAGAAAAAGTTCCACAGTAGCAAGATGCCATATAAAACAGGATCCCACACCTATAACCTAAACAGCCAAAAATTATAAATACCTACCATTAGAAAGCTTATTTTTAAAGAAATTTGGAAAAGAAATATTTTATTACAATTTAAAATCTTATTACATGCAGTATGAGTTAAAATGGGATTTTACTTACAGGAAAAATAGTAACGGGACAAATGTAATACATATAATATTATGTGAATCTGGCAGCTCTATACTGGTTGAAAAACTCTCATTTTGGTTTTCTAGTATATTTTAAGTCAGGCTATAATTTTAAAATGTGGAATTAGTTCCAGCATTTGCCATTTAATTAATCATTTGGTTTCAAACGTTCTTCATTGCCCTGAGAACTGTAGAGGCTATTTATATTAAATTAAGGAACGAAAATTAGTTCTTAAAAAACAAAGGCATTACCAAATGCTTTTTTTGTGAGGTTATCAGACATGTTAGGTGGTCACACTGATTTAATTTATGTAGAAGCAATTACAAGAAGTTGCTTTGTGCCATCACTTTGTTTCCTGATGAGAAATGAGTTGAGTCTGGCTGTAAGACACTTTTCGTACTGTATACCAGCTTCCTTATAGATACATGTTGGGCTTACATTTCAGGAGGCATACATGCATTTTTAATTTTATATTTTTAATCCACTCATTTTTGTAGTAGGAAACCAGTGACAGGAAGATTCCAGGTTGCCAGTAGTATTGTCATTTAATAACCTGATATAATTTAATATTGCACATTTAGAATTGTGGTACTGCAAAGCTATCAATAAGGTATCCGTTGAAAATAAGAAGTAACAAAAGCTTTGTAGTTCATGTATCTTATGGTACTCCTCAAATGACTTGTCATCACTGTGGAAAGAATCAGAAATCCAATTAACATTGTTTGCTTGGAAGATTTGCTTTTACGAAAGCTGATTAAAAAAACATTTAAAGTACACTATTCTTTTTTAAAACTCAAAATCTGTAAGGCGTGAAATATGAGGGGTTCGTTGTGTTAACTGTATCATTTTCAGGCATGCACACCATTAAAATTAAACTCATTTTTCCTCCACATCTTTCAAGAAATACTCTTGTCTAGATAATCTACAGTTCATTACATTAATAAGCCTTTGATTCATCTTCTTGATTCGTACATGGAGTATATTTAATCTTAAGTGAGAAAAGTGTAAGAATATCTTAAAGAGACAGTTTCTTTTGTGAGTGGAGAATAAGGAAAACAAATGCTTGAATAAAGTCATCTTTGACCTTTGCTATGACAAAGAATTATTTTCTTCTTTTGAAAGAAAATTCTGAGTGCATTAAAATGTTACACTATGCAGAGAACCGGATTTTGCTATATTTTTAAGGATAGACTTCTCATTAGTCTCTTCAAAAACGCTGATTACGACGCCGAGTAATTCACTTTCACTTATCCTTAAGATGGTGAAGTTGCATTTGTCAGTGATGAAGTTTTCAAGATTTGAATGGTTTTAAAATGTTCATTGTTCTGTTAATTCCACTTATTGAATCCATTGAGGTAAGTTTAAAGTTGCAACAACAGTTGATGATCAGCATGATCACAGGTCTATCAATTTGTGAAACAAATTTTGTTTTTACAGATGCACACAGAAAGAAACACTGTAGAAATCTTAGCCTCAATTCTATATTCATATAGAACTGGAAAGCTTGCAACTCAAATACTCAAAAGTTAAGAAATCCAAAAAAAGAGAGCTTGTACCTGTGCTGTTACACTTTTTGTATGAACTGTATACCTAATGAAGGCAAAAACACAGTCTAAAACAATTTCTGCTTAGCTATGTAAAATCAGAAAATAATTGCTGTTCAATACAAATTCTTTGTATATTTTAGATGGCAGATCACAAAGAAGTAATGAGGGGCATCGAGCGGCATCCTGGAGTCCAATATCCTGTTCTCACGCCTAATCTTCAAGGTTTCCATTCTGCTGTAAGTGCCTTCATGAAGATGTCCACAAGTACCTCTTGCATGTTTCAGACACTTTCAGTTCAGTACCATCAACTCACTATTTAATGTCATACAACCTGTTCTGTTAGAACTAACCTATAGTTTTTTTAACCAGAATCTCTCTGTTTTCATTGTGAAAAATGGGCAAATTCACAGAATGATGTTAAGCTCTATATATTCATATTTTAATGGAAGTATTAATCAAACAGTCTTCGCACGTTCCCATAAACAATGTTTGTGTCTAAAAAGAAAGACAGTTCCTTCTCCTTCTTTGACTTGTTGGCCCTAGAAAAGTTTCTGAAGTTTTCTTATTGGAAAGTAGTGAAGAAGAGTGAGGAAAGAGTCATTTAAATGAAAATGCTCTATAGGAATGTATTAGTTTTCTTAAATTCTGCATTTCCTTTTGGTAGAGTTTGAAAGTTTAAATTGTTTCAGTTCATACAAAATAAATATTCAAAAATATAGACTCAAAGTGTTTGGAATTTTGAAAATGAAGTTTAGTCTTCTTAAAACATACATATTGATAGTCAAATCTTTACAGTTCTTTGTTTTCTGAAAAATTTTCATGGTTCTATGCTTTTGACTTGATGTAGGACAAGCCATGTAGTATAAAAAAGTATACTGCTTGATCGACATTTGTGGTGTAATCTGTCATTCAGTTTCTATACTGCATATGAAATCTCTGTTAAGAGTCCTGTACATAGGCGAGTTGACTAACAATAATCAGATTTATAGTTCCACAACTTTGTGTGCGATAGTAGCTTGTATGAATTGAGTTAAATCTGCTATATCGCTATACCATATTTAGTGATACAATGAAAGGAAAACAGTGAAAAAATAGTTGTAGGTGATTGCTGAGTTCTTTCTTGTAGCTATTTTTTTTTCTTCCTTCTCTTTGAAAGGGTATTTGTTGCTGTAAGGGTTGCTCAAGCTTAGACATCCTGCAGAAGCAGAGAGTAAGAGGAAAAGCTCCATTCTTTTTCGTAGAACAAGAATATTATTCTCACTGAAGAGTGAGAATTAAGCAGCTGTTCTCCTAAGCTTAAATGTTTTCTTCTCCTATCATTTGGCTTTCAGCATCCTAGTTTGCCTCATGTTACTTGATTTACTGAGCACTGAGGTACAGAGTACAAGCTCAGGCTAATTGCCCCTTCAGTGAAGTCACCACATTTACACATTTTCTAGACTGGTATTTGCTCTGAGACTTTTTCTCAGCAGACTCACAGACACATTTTCCATATTACTCATATCAGCTATGACACCAAGACCAATGGAGTTCTTGATCCTAGAGCTGGCTCTTAACAAGGAAATCCCTGTTAATTATTGTTGCTGCTCTAGGCACACACAGTCACAGAGCTTTCCTAAGCCTGAAAATGACTTCCTGGCATTCACGAGGAACAGGCTTTGTACAGAGGATAGATATTTCAGAGTTGTTATGTGATCTTTTCCTTTTCTGAAAAATGAATATAAGTATCAATCATTTTTATTTTCATAGTTGGTTCATGTGATTTTCACATCTTAATACCTTTACCATTTATTGCTTTAAAAATATGTTTACCTAATTGCTAAGAAGAGGAAGGAAATATGCCGTAGTGAATGAACTCAAAATTTGATTCAATCTGTTTGTATTCAATAGATTTAAAAAAAAAATGGAACAAAACTTATATTTTAGATATGGATGATATAATGTACCTTAAAATTCTAGAATGCTTTACAGAATTAAATGCTTGATCTAATCTTTTAATATAGTGTTATGATTCTGTTTTATTGAAATGTATTTTTCAGATTGCAGCAGGGGCTACAGAAGTCTCAGTGTTTGGTGCAGCATCTGAATCTTTTAGCAAAATGAATATTAATTGCTCAATTGAAGAAAGCATAGAAAAATTTGAAGAAGTTACTAAGTCTGCAAGGAATATGAATATTCCAGTGCGTGGGTAAATATAAAGATTCTTATGTAATACAGAGTTATTGGAGTCACTGTTACAGCGGGTATTTTTGGTGCCAGTATACTACCAAATTTTTGCATCTTAGATGAAATAATAGTCTTTATTCTGCCTTTTTTTTTTTAAAGATTGAATATATTTAGTAATTTTGCTCTGTGTTTTGTAACTGCTAATGGTGATTAGTTTTCTCTGGAAATTGAAAAAAAAAAGCCGCATGTACCCATTTTATTCTACAAATTAATTTTTATCATCACAGATGATGACAGAATAAAATTTATTTTGTGCTGCTGAGAACATAACACTGTTGTCTGCACCTTAAAAAATACCCTGCATACTTTTGTTTTATTATAGTATTGATAATGTATCACTTCATACATTGTAGAATCGAGGTATAAAAATGATAAACTTACTCCTAAGGAAAAAATATATTCTTTATAAAAGTTATTTTGAAAAGTCAAGGCATTGAAGTGTTCGGAGTCTCTAGTGCATGAAACTCTGCAGTTGTCTAGTATTTATCTTTCTCTAGAGTGCCTTGATAGGACAAGGAGTGATGGTTTTAAACTAAAGGAGGGTATGTTTAGACCAGATATAAAGAAGAAATTTTTTATGATGAGAATAGATAGAGGTAGATACCTCAGAAACATAACTCCTTGAAAACCTGTCTGGGAATAAACACTGGGAGCTCTCTTTCCTCCAGAAATAGTGATGAGATAATACTACTGCTCACTTTTTGCACAACAGCATGGTAGTTTGAGCATTTGCCTTGAAAAAGGGAGATCTGACGTCTAGTTATACCTCAGTTGCAGAGGATCACATAACAGAATGGTTTAGGTTGAGAGGACCTCTGGAGGCCATCTTGTCTACCCCAAGGGTTTTAACACACACACACATCCAACCAAGGATAGCTCGTAAATGCTTGGATCCTTTTTCCCTGGCCTGGTTATATGTTTCAGATTGAATATTATTAAATAGAGAAGTAAGGACTTTCACTGTATGAAGAAACAATAACTTGTACCAGAGTTTAAATACTCTTATCTAGCTGGTAATCTGTCAGGTGGAGTAAGGGGTTGCCTTCCTGAGCAACTTCTCTTATAAGGGGTCTGTTGTTTAGAAGGTCTCTGCCACCACTGTTTGCCACATTTTTCTGAAACTAAATTCTGAGCTGAGAATGTAACTAGCAATTTGAGTTCTCCAGGAGGATTAAGCTCAGGGATGCCTGAATTTAAGGTCCCAGATAGGTGTGGATAAGGGAATAGGCAGTCAATTCAGAAAAGACAGCATGTCTGTAGCAACAAACCTTAGGCACTGGTGTACATTTTTACACTAAACTTTTGTTTTCTGTTTTTCTTGGATGTTTAGGCATGTCAGGCAATATTTTCTGTTTCTTATTCCTGTATTTCACTAACAAATGAGAAAGCAGAAAGGGAAGGCATATAGAGAGAGTAAGAAGAAGGAGGCAGAAAATGATCAAACAGAAGAGCACAAAAAAGGAAAAATATTATTATTATAATTAATAAAAAGAAGGAAAACAAAGCAGGGAGGTACAAAGAGAGGAGTAGCCAGAACCAGGTAATGAAGCAAGCAGAAAAAACAGCATTACAGAGGTGAAGAGAAATGAGATAATTGAGCTCAGAGAAACTACAATCAGATTATGTTTTGAAAGTGCTTACTTTGTGCATCCGGTACAAAGATCTGTAATTTCACTTCAGTATGCAAACCTAGGCAAACTTCACACAGTACATGCAGGATGATTTTATTGAGCCTGTTGTGCCAGGTGCAGTATGTCACACAACGCTTCAACAGCGGACTGCTTATTGTTAGATGTGCTACAAAATGAACAGATTTGAAGCTGTGAAGGAAAGTGATGTAAGTTCACTTCAGCTATGGCTTTCTTCCTTAGGCTTACAGGTCTAAGAAAAGCAAATCATTCAGAAGTAGGAAGCCATTGACAGAATAATATGATTTGTGGGATTATAACCAAGTAAAGAATCCAATTAAAGAGGATAAGTATATTGAAGAGAAACTACATTTATGTTTATGTTACAGGATATTAACTTGGGAACTGATTTATCCAGTGAAAATTAGAGGTTGAGGCATCAGGAGATAAGATGCTGGACTAACATTACACTTCAACAAATCAAAAATTTTAGGAGAGGATCTAGTATAAGACAATAATAAAGTAGCTAAACTGCTAAAAATCTGCTGAGAATCTCAGTTGCAGAATATGGAGCCTTATTTCATACCAAAAAAACCCCTAATAATTCTGGGTATCTAAAACATCTATTGAACATGGATTTCAGTAAATATACCGAAATAAATATTTCAGTGAAAATACCGAAAAGAAAGTTTTGGGCATGCTAGTAAGAAGATAAAAGAGAATTGGTTAACACAGTCTGTTTGGACTTCGAGTGCACTTTTAAAAAATCCCTCCCAGGGAGATTTTGAGGAGGCAAATCGGTAATTAATGAGAAATAAAATGTTGCTATGATTCAGAGTCTAGACAAATATGTTTTCAAGAGAATAATTACCAATTATTTTGATACATTGAGTCTTCTTCCTGCATGTTCATACTCTTTCAAATGCACTCCTCATGGGTTGCAGAAATACAGGATCTGTAGGAAGCATTGAGACAGGATGCTTGCTCAGAAATAATTTTTAAAAAGGATTGTTTAATGTCCATATACCCCAGTACTTTCTTTTAAGCTCCAGTGTACTGTCTTTTGTTGAGTAGAATTCTGAACACCAGAAAAATAATAGCAGGAGCATGAACTTAGAAATGCAGAATTCAGAAGGACGTTTTTTAATGGTAGATCTCTTAGCAGTTGAACAAAGCTCTAGAAGGTGGACTTAAAACTTTTAATTAGTTAGAAAATGAAAAAATACCCATAAAGAAGGAGCATCAGTTTTGTGCCAAATCCAGGAAGTAAATAAATGTGTATACAACATTTCAGTTGCTTGTGAGGGGTACGATTATGGAAAGAGGCCATTGTTTCCAGCTTAAATCTACGCTAAGCCATCATTTTCCCTAGTAGTAACACCCATCAAAATCCTGCACTCGTACAGGGAGTTCATTAGGACCTGGGTGGAAGTAGTTCACCAGTTCCAAAATATTGGAGTACATTTAGACGACTTGTGGAGTTTTACATTGTATTTAATGATCTAAAACACAGGGCTTCTCTTCCTCAATGAAAAAAGGTGTGGAAGAGATAATCAGAAAGTAAAACTGAGAGATTTCATAGAAATATTCAGTGCAATCAAGATGATTTTTCCCGGAGATAAAACAGTCAAAAAAGGAATTGACTATCAAAGCCTGTAATTGATTTATGATCCCATATTCAGCTGCTACTAAAGAAGCTGCTTTTAGTGACAGATAAAATAAATGGCATTTTTCTATCCCAATTCCATGCAAAAGTCTTTAAATGCTGAGACAGTCAAGGCTTTGTGGCAAGTTGTTCTTTATGCCATGTTCTTTATGCTTTGTATCCTGATCTGTAAGTGTCACATAGACAAGTCAATTAGGGGCAGAAACTGACAGTTTCAGAAATTGAAATTTGGGAGTCTCTGTCGAATAACCTCAAACCCAGAATTTTGGAAACAAAAGGATGTGATGTTACATAATTAATCAGTTGACATTTATTATTTAGAATTGGTGCTCATGGTTTGACTGGTTCTTATTTAATTTCAATGAGAAGATTAGTTTCAGGTTTTATTTTGTTTTGTGGCTTCTATTTACTGAAAATAATTATATATTGTTTACTATTGTTGTAACATGAGGCAAATCTGAGCATGACCACACAACAAGTCTGAGCTCATCATCCTAAATCTGCTTGTAGTTACTAAAGAGAAATAGGCAGCCTTCAGGCTATGATTTATCGTGTGTGGTTTTTAAAGTACCTGCCTTAGGATGAGATGAACCACTCTCCAGATGATCCATCCTTTTGGCTGCAAAGGAGCTTGTGTCCTATCCTGTGTTAATCATCCTATAGATGGCCTATCTAAGGCATAGGCTTGATAGATGATTATTTTTGATATCAGAAGTTATTTTATCCCATCCTACCTGTGCATAGGCTAAGGATTAGTACCTTCTAATTTATGTAAATTACAATAGATATAAGAAATAGGCTTGTACTTACAGAAAATGAAGCCGTGGACTGTATGGACAAAGATGTGTACTCTGTGCACTGAAAATCAATGTTTTATTTTTAATCACCCTTTTAGAGACTGGCTACTTTTAAAGAATCATGGCCAAAACCTGCAGCCTTTGCTCAGGCAAGCTCCCAGGACTATGCATTTGGCTTCTAATATAAATTTTGTAGGCTAAATATTTTGCTTGAATTACTTAGGTAATAAAAATATTAATATGCATAAATTGTGTTTATATTAATTTCAATACAGAGATTGTTTCCTTTCTAAAGCACCATTATTCTTTAAAGTGTTATTTATTTGCAGGAAATGGATAATTTAGTGCCTTGCCCTAACTCCTTATTTGTGCAGTTGAAAAATACTTCCAAAAATAATTTTAAGGGGTTCAAATTTTGTTTCCTATTTTTACTGGCAATTTAGAATTTATGTAGTAACCATAAATCATTGGCAATCCTTGAATCTTACGAAAAATGCACTCAAACAGTTGAAACTAAACTTTAAGCTTTCACATGTCTTACTGTTGCTACAGCTGCGCTAACATTGACTCGATCATCATCCAGAAAATTTATGTTGTCAGCTGTCACATTTAAAATCTGTAGCACAGGACACAGTTTTCTAAATGTTTACTAAATTAGTTCAAATGTTTATGACGAATTGAAATCTTGTGTATGGTCTTAGAAGTTAGACTATTTATTTGCATCATAAAGGGTTTTTTGGTTTTTTTTTTTTTTTGTACATGCATAAAAACTTTACAGTAACATCTGGGACACATTCTGTGACAACACTGAGCCAAATAAGTTATAAACTGTGTGGTCAGCTAATTACTACTATGTGTATTTTGCATGTGA